ATTTGCCTACCAGCCGAATCAGATGCCTTGAGCAGGGTCGTTGGTCATGTCACTCAGGTACGCAATGACTGCCAGGAGGCCCGACGAACCAGGCATCAACTTCACTCTGGGCAAACTCGTCCCCAGCTAGTAGGTGGTATCTGCTTTGCATTGGACTTGTCACAAGCCTTTGACATGGTGAGCAGGACAGACTTGCTTAGCACACTGCAGGACGCGGGAGTCCCGCAGGACCTCATTGACCTAGTTGCCTCATTGCATGCTGGCAGTGCTTACACGTTTCGCACCCAGGGCGAAGAGGACACGGTCCAGTCCACTGCGGGCATTAAACAGGGGTGTAAGCTTGCCCCCACACTTTTTTCCATGCTTACGGGCACCATTTTCCGGGAGCTCATAGCTCTTGTTGGAGTTCGAGCGGTAGTGGACTACCTCACGGGCTATGCAGACGACCTTACGGTTCATCGCGACATCCACTCGTTGGAGGACCTGGGTCGCGCTCATGCTCTGATTGAGCAACTGTTGCAGTTGGTCCGCAGCCATGGTTTTGCTGTCAATGGAGCAAAATGCACTGTCATGATTAAACTCGAGGGCCAACAGGCGCAACGCGCCATCTCCAAGCACACTTATTGGCGCACCGCGCCTGACGGAACCCGCCATAAGATGTGGAGACTGGGAGAGTCCAAGTCTCACGAGGGCTTTCCACTGGTGACGTCCTTTAAGTATCTCGGCGTCATGCTCTCCTACTCCAACTTCGAGAAGGCCACTCTCAAGTTCCGCTTGCAGGAGGGCAATGTGAAACTGCAGCAGGTACGCCGCTTTGTACACAACAGACGAACGGCGGGGCCAGCATCGCGGTTGCACATTTGGCATAGCACTGTCTGGGCCACAGTAGCCTGAGGATTGGTGGATGTGGGCTTGACCCTAGAGACAGCTAAACTGTTGCGGGCTTGGCACGCTCGCAAAATCCGGGCTGTCCTGAACAAGCCAGCGCACCTGACACACATATCCACAGCTGACCTCTATGCCTCCCATGAGATCATAGACCCTGTCCGTAAGCTGCAGGCGCGACAGGCCAATCGGGTCAAGCGCTTAGGTACTCGACAGCGGAAGACTCCTGCTGGGGATATCTCTTTAACTCAGCGAGCGCTCCTCCAGGCGGAGGCACTCTCTGCTAGTTATGCAGACGTTCTGCAGCAACTCTCTAAGGACACATCACAGCAGGCGTCTCCCCCGTCCTTTGTGTCCCCGACGTGTGCTCAGGCCTTCGACACCGAGGTTGGCCTACGCACCCACCAGGCCCGCAAGCATCCAGGCTCGGTCATCAGATATGTCCCTCGAGGCTTCTCCCACACCCTCTCTGTAGGAGGGCTCCCCAAGTGTGCGGCTTGCAACAGGCAATTCCCTCAGATGAAGGGCTTAAAGGACCACTTGTTATCAGGTGCCTGCTCGGAGCCAGCTAGGCTACAGGAGCTCGATGATGCGGCGCACCCTCCCTTGGATTCGCAACATCAGCCCAGGTTGCATCCCAGGCAGCAGCGCTTGCACGACACTCTGACAACACACACGGCTGTGGAGCTCGGGCGATCTGATGAGTCTCAGGATCTTATGTCACATTGCTTGCTGTGTGGGTTCTGGACCCCGGACAATACCAAGCTCAAGTCTCACATCCGGCAGGCCCACAAACCTGAATGGGCGGCTCATGGCGCTACAGCTGCAACCCAGAGCAGCAAATCAGGCCTGACCCTTGTCAAGGGCATGCCTTGCCCGTGCTGCCGCAAGCCTGTTACGGATAAGAGGCAGCATCCGGCACAATGTCCGATCCTTTTTCAGATTCTGTTTTATGACTTGGTTCATGCACTTTCCCGCTGCCAGGGCGGACCGCTACGCAGGTACATGCCAGCGGTTGGCAGGACACAAGGCAACGCACCCAAACGGGACGATACCACCGCTGTTGGAGCAACGCCCCAGACTCGCCAGGCAACGCCTGCAGGCCCCCTGCCACCGAAGTCAGGGGCGGTAGAATCAAAGGACGGCGCGCTCGCTGCTCCCCGCTCGCTGCGCAACATCTCCAACTACTGCTATGTTAACTCAACGCTTTCGGCCCTGGTGCCGACGTGCATCTTGCTGGAGCACGGAGGGGCAAGCACCTCCCTCCATCAGGAAGTGGCCGACTCTGTCTCTGGTTCTCCTTTCACCCTGACTGCCTCTTTCACGCTTCGCCATCTTACTCCCACTTGGCGCTATGATGGCCAACAACAAGATGCTTCGGAGTTTCTAGTGGCCTTATTTGCAGGCATTACCGCCTTTCCGATTGCACGACCCTGGGAAGTCAGGGATGTAAACACTACTGAGGTCACCGATGCGGGAGGTCCGCTCGCTTTGCTGCCAGCTCCAACGACAGGTGGATCCCATGCACTTCAGGAGCTGCTCTCTCGGTGGTCTGGCCAGCCGGTGCACACCGCCTTTCGAGGGCAGCAACGACTGGTGGTTCTCTCAGTGGCGCGATTTGTTGAAGGCCGCAAGCTCAGCTATGCTGTCACTGGTCTGCACCACCCCCTTCAGCTCTCGCAGTGGGCCCCGACGGGCTCCGTACAACTAGAGAAAGGATGGGTTCAATCCTGTATTTTCCACATAGGTGACACCCCGCAGTGGACATTATCGCTCCCTCTGGAGGAGCAACCCCGATCAACCTTGGCTCAGCACGGACGATGGTCGTCCGTCGGTTCAGGCCTCAGATTCAGATCTCAGGCAAGCACGCCACGGCTGCTATGTGCTGTTAGTGCGACTTGGTTCATCACCGCACGCAGCGGAGGCTGGCCCTATGCCAGTCCAAGTTTCAGATGATTAAGCTGAGGGTTCCCCTGAGGCCAGGGGCCCCTACTTCCCCTTGCAGGAAGGGGGCGACCTACTGGCTCTGTGGGACCGACCTGCCTACACGGCAGGGAGCAGGAACGCTGTTGTTCAGTTTTGCTGCTCAAGTTGTACAGCTGACGTAGCTCTTCTACTCAGCGTTTGTGTGCAATCGCGGCCTATACCCGTCATGCTAGTCGGGCAACGCTCGCTGCTTTCCCAGAAAGGGCAACGCCTGTCAGCAACACAGCTGACCAATGGCTGAAATCGGCTTTACAAACCCCCACTCTCGGCTCGAGAAGGGGGGTTTGTCCGAGACCCAAAAAAATCAAGGTTTTGCAAACCCCCATTCTCGGCTCGAGAATGGGGGGTTGTCCGAGGCCCCCAAGCCATTGCCGGCAAGCCTGGCCTCTGGAGCCTCTTACGAATAAGGTTAGCCTTATTAGGCACAGTGTGCTAACCGCCAGGGTGTGCCACATCGTTCACCGATGCAATCTGCTTGCCCACAAAAGCGGAGCTACCTCAGATAACAGCACTAGCAGCCGTTCCACGTGCTCATCACCTTTGCGACCTTACGGCCCATCGCCTTTGATTGAGAGTGACCATGAGTGGGACGCCACGTAACAGGCACTCTGAGTGACGGTCCCGCGGGGTACGGCTCATCAATCATTGGTTCGTGGACATGGGACGCCATAGTCCACACTGAGGGTGACGGAGGGTTTCTCACCTACGCCTGAGACGCATGAACCGGCTTTTGAGGTAGCTTGTAGGGTAGCTCTCTCCTAACGTTAGCCTGTCTCAGCGCTTTCAGGCCCAGGCCCTTTGCAGTTCTGCTCTCAGACTTTTGCTCAGGTGCAACGGCAGTCTCACACGCCCGCAATGAGCAGAGCCCGCTCGCTCAGCGTCCAATAAAATTGCTGCTCTTGCTGCTGCTGGTGTTGCCGATATAGAGCCTGCACCGCTACTGTGGTAGTGGTGTGTAGGAATAGCCATAGCAGTGTGGCACGACGCACGCAAACTTCTCCGGGTCACAAACATTCATATCAATGACTCGACGGACAAGAATGCAGAGGGTCATGTTGCTTTGGCTATTTTGTTCGAGGAACAGTTTAGCCAGAATCCTTTAGGGAGTAAGGCTAAAAGCCACGCAACAACGAGAGGAGTGGAAGAAGCCACGTTACTGTCTAAACGTAAACACATTCAGGAGCCATGAGAAAAGCAGAAACGACAGGACAGCAAACAACAGTAGCGCGAGTGGAGTACGTTTCAGTCTTCGGAATGAGGTTTCGAAGTCAGATAGCATGTGGACGGCAACGGCAACTTAGATTTGGAAGCAAAATGCAGACCAGAGGAGCAAGAAGAGCAAGACAATTAATAGCAGCTGCTAGAATCAACACACGAAGGCCGGCAAAGACCAAGAAGAAGCACTTTCTCCAAGAGGGTTTCGGTGAGCAGGAATGCATCAAGAGTTCAAACTACAAGGAAGAACACAGCAGCATCAGCAACTCGAGCAGCTCAGTGGGATCCACAGCGTCTTTCCAATTTGTGGTTCCATGCTCTCAGAAACTAGATAAGCCGGGTAGATATTTCGAAGTTAAAGAAAGCAGTCCCCTAGAGCCCCATGCCGCCCACGCCACGCCGCAAGAAAGGGACCAAAGATAGCTTCGTATCTTTGGCCCTCTGCCCGAGGTGGGACCCGAATGGCTGCAGGCCTTGCGCGTGCAGCTACAGCTTTGCAAGGGGGGCGAAATTCAGAAACAGAGACCAAACCCTAAACCCTGAAACCCTAGAACCCTAAACCCTAAACCCGAAAATTGACGGAGGGTTCCAGCTTTGGCTGTTTTGTGGGAGTGTGAGTCGAAGGAAGAGTTGGACATTCACAGCTGCCACATCTTCCTAAGAAACCTTGGGCCTTTATTAGGGTTCCTCATACCAATCCTATGATTTTGGGGTTATAGGCCCAAGGTTTCTGAATCTAAGTTCTTACAAGTCTACTTTGCCAGCATCGTTTCTGGGTGGTTCATGCTTGTGGGATGGTGTGTGAGGGGATTGTTCGCCACGAATCGGGTTGGGGATGTGACAAACTCGCCCTCGCCAGCACGTAGGCTTCCAGACGGCCCTTTCATGAGCTGTGGATGCATTGATTTGTTTTCATGGTGTCACCAGAGGTAGAGCTATGGATAGAGGTGTCTCAAGGTCTCGTTGGCTTCTCAGGCACTAGAAGCATGCTTGGGCACACATGTGGGGGCATGACGGAGATCTGTGCGTCGACGGGAGCGGCTTTTCAGCTGGAGCCTCACACCTGGAAGCTGGGCTACGGCATCTCAGCAGTGCGCTGGGAGCAGTTTGAGAAGCGGAAGGACTTAGGGGTACTTAGAAATAATTTTTAATTTTTGGTTAGTATAATCCCTAAGAAACAGCCAAAATTATGAAATTTTGCTAGGGTTCTAAGTTCAGTATAGAGGAGGCGGAGCTTCGCTACCAAGGGCTCTGGTCCTCGAAGGTGCTCATGAGCCCCGAGGGTGAGGTGAAGCTTTGCTCCTCTGCTCCTGTGGATCCGAGAGGTCTTGGGGTGGCGATGCTGCTACTCTCAGCGAAGAGAGACTTTGAAGAGGTTTTTCAGCCCCCTCTCATTCATGCTGCCCTGGAGAATGGAGATGTGGCTTTTATTCCAGCTGAACGTTTGCCAGGCATTCCGCAGGCGCTACAGCTCGTCTGGGACATGGTTGCTTGGAGAAGGTCCATCAGTTGGTTTGGCTCACGCGTGTCGGCGGATTCGCTTTGTTACTTCGACGTTGAGAAGCATCCGGGCGTTCGGGGCTATGTGGCGCTGACCATCGACGATGCCCCATGCCGCCTAGGGCCCAAGAACTCCATGCTGCCTGAGATCCGAAGGCTTCTGAAAGAGCATCAGGCACAGGCCACCTTCATGCTCCTGGGGAAGTTTGTGTCTGGTAGTGAAAACGACCTCCTGGACCTTTTAAGGGACGGACACGAGCTGGGGAATCATGGTCTTGTGGACAAGAGCTACTTGGCCTCCTCTGCGAAAGAGTTTGAGGAGATGGTCGACGAGTGCTCAGCACATATCGGCGACTTGCAGCGACGTGCCGGAATTTCTGCCGCGTTTCCCTGGTTTCGGCCTCCCCATGGCCAGATGAGCTCCGCAATGACGGAGATTGTGAAGCACAAGGGCCTCAAAGTTCTCATGTGCGACGCCTACGCCTGCTGCCCCGTGATTCAGGATGTCAGGGGACCTGAAAGTTGGTAGTTACTGGTAGGATCAAACTAGTATCAGAGCTTTTACATGGCTTTACGTTTGCCTACTCCAAATCCTGGATTTCGACAGCACATGAAGTTGGACAAGGGCCCGCACAAAAAAGAAGAGCCCCTAAACCCTGAAACCCTAAACCACTAAACCCAAAACTCCTAAACCCAAAACCCCTAAACCCCAAAACTCCCCAAGCCAACCTTTTTTCTTGCTGTTTTTTTGAGGATGGCGACTTCATCGGGCGCTTCCTGGCGCGCAGGGCGGAGCACGGCTCCATCCTTCTGCTGCACATGCCCGAGCACGGCTTTCGCGAGCCTGGGACAGAACCCACCCTTTTTGACGCAGCTTCTTTTTACGGGGTTTGGCATCTCCAGGCAGACATTTTTTTGGCATGCTTTTTATTGGGTTTAGAGGTTTACTCATAGCACTTTGATGTCTAGGCTTGCCGGGAGGACTCTTCCCTCGTTTCGCGCTTCGGGGTTGCGTTGAGGGTGCTAAACTGCCAAACTCAGGAATGGTGTTGGCTCGGCCTGCAGACGCTGCTTCGGCAACTGCAGGCGCGCGGCCTGCAGGTGGTAACTGCCGGGAAGCTGGCCGAGCTAGCCGGGTGGAGTCCGGACAGGCTTTAGCTTGCTCAGATCTTTCAAGTTTACGTCTTTGGACTGCAAAGGGTTGTAAGTTGTAGGGTTTAGAACTCTGCAGGATTCAGGTCCTCAGGGCTTGGTGTCGAGAGTTTGGGCTTCAGGGTTTCAGGTTGCCGGTTTCAGGGCTTGAGACTGTTTGGTTCGGGTCGTAACGTGCATAAGTATGCAGTGAAATCCAGTGCCGACAGTGGCGCTCTGGTTTGAAGTTGCTGGAGTCCGGTAAGGGAGCAAAGGAATCCAGCACATCACGGTCTCACGGCGAAAGCGACCATGCAGCCATCGCTGAGTCTGGAAATGCTGGATCGGAGTTTTGAACGTAGTGTCCAGATGCAGAAGATTTCGGGAGTGCAGTGAAACATTTTCTATTCTTCTTACAATTCAGAATGTGCTCGAGTGATGACGTAGTTCCGTTCCAGATTCACTTGAGTTGTGCTTGGTTCCCCGCAGGAGCGAAGATAAAGAACAACAGTAGAACTGGCAAAGATATGATCAACGATGTGATTAGCTTTGTCGGCACTTCTGAAAAAGGTGAGGACAAGCATACATGGGACGCTTTCTTTAGTAACAACGACAATGGTATGCAGAAGTTTCTTTATACTACCGTCCGTGCTGACAGCAATAGCATCATCACTGCTAGCAACAGTGAAATAGTTGTATGGGGCGAAAGAGATACATGCCCGCTACAACATGCCATGGAGAGTAGTAGTAGCAATCGCAACGCAAATTTTAAAGCATCCACACTACTGGCATCAACAGTTCTCATGATGACAATCAGGCCTGCAACTGCTAGTGTGATGAGTGTTATGGCTCGGATATTGATGTCTGTTGTGGGTGGTAGTCGGGTTTAGATCCAGCGCATTAGGAATGGACATTGATGTTTACTTCTGCCAACCGCATGAAACATGTCAGAATCTCCTCTGGCTGCCATTCTTAGCCAGTCCACTGGTTTGCACTGGTCCTCTGGTAGACAAGGCGCTGTGCTCATATTCATCAGTGCTTGTGGCCTACTTTAGGGGCTTAACTGGGGTTCCTTTTAATAACTATAGCAAAAAAAGCCTCAAAAACCCAATTCAAATCCTTAAGGCCCCTATAAGTTCCCGGGGCCGTTTGCATAATGGCATCGGATCTGCACCTCCAAGCAGATGGCTATGACGACAGCTGCGTACCTCTACCAAAAGCCGGTGAGTTTCGCACTTCGAGTAGCGTTCTGCTTCAGGCAAGCAAGGATTCGGGCTGTAGGGTCTGCACATTGGGCTGTGGCTTGGTTCACTTGGGGGGGGGAAGGGGTTGGGGTTTAGAATACCGCTTACTAAGCCTCCTGCCTGTTCGTCGGCTGTTGGAGCAGTCTATTTGGTGACGGATCGGACAGTGACAGCGGCTGTAGGATGCTGTATGGGCCTTAATAATTACCAATACGCTTGTGGGGTTCCTGATTATGATTAGAGTAGAATATATTCCAACACTCCAATCTAACTATGAAGGCGGCTCCATTAGGGGCATCATGCCTTTGAGCTGCCTTGAGAGGCGATTTTACATCTTCGGGGCACGGCCGTCAAGCCAAGGTACTTCGGGACTATATCCAGAACTGCGACCACCGTGACGGTGGCACTCCCGTGGATTGCTCTAAAGCTATCAAGGTCTACATCGACATAGTCGCACATGAGCTCAAAAATGTCGATGATCATCGTGAGGAGCTCTTTGGCAAACAGCTGGTCCTACGTCTGTCGGAGCGGGGTTCTTCCTGTAGGCATGATGTGCTGTTCTAAGCTTTTTCCACCCATTATCCGAGATTCCAAATGGTCTTCATGCTGAAGCTCAGCTGGCTCGATCCCGACCTGAAACACTTCAAATCAAGCATCACTGTTCGCGACAGAAGCGGTTTCACGAAGCTTCATCTGCGCCAGCTGGACGTTGTCATCACGAAGATGTATTGTAACGGCGACATCGAGTTTATCGAATTGTCGGATCTTTCACAGAAGCGTCAGCTCCTGCGCAAGCATGACTACTTCAGCATTCAAGACCCAGAGTGGAAGGAGTATTTCTTCCCGTCATATACTTTTCTTAATATGCAGAATGACGCTGCACAGCCCTTGGAGGCAAGAAGGCTGCTTTGGTGTGGTGAGGTGGGTGGCTTCGTCTCCTATGCAGTGAAGTATGACGCGAAGTTTAAGGAGAAGCTGGATCTGAGAGCCTTTCCCAAAGATCTTCAGCTGTGCAGGACGGACGCTTTCCAAGTTGAGCGCCTAGTACTTGCGAAATCAGGCGTCTTCCTAGCTGTGCAACATTTCTGCTTCTACCACAGAACAGAAAGGTTTACAAGCAGAGAAGCAAAAGTTTTCGTCAGTGCATCGGCAACCCCGGTCAAAGCTTGCAATCCAGAGCCTTGTAGCGACGACTCGCACAACTCGGAGCACTTTCAAGTGTCTGCACAAAGATTGAAGCCTGGGGGCTTCAAGCCTTGGTGTGTTTCTGCCAGTGACGTCACAGTTGGATGTGTCAATGCAGCCTTGATCACACTGCTTCCTGTGTTCAACTCACCCTGGATTATACAGCTGTGAACACAAGCAGCCGGGGGCCGCGCAGAATAGCCCATCAGCCTGAAGAATCGGACAGGATACCTCACAGTGAACATGATCTCTGTGCATCTGTTCGTGCGTGTTTGTTTGTTCGTTTGCTTGCTTGTTTGCTTGCTTGTTTTATGTGTGTTTGTGTGTATGTGGGTATGTGTGTATGTGTATGTGCACTGTCCTTGGTCATTTCAGTAGTCGCGCGCTTGCCACATTGTTTCATGATCTGTGTCAGTCTACCTCGCAATCTACCGCGTGCAACGAAGCCTCGGTTGTGCATGGGACACTCAGCCTGATCAGCGGTACTTCAAGGACCATGGGACTTAGTAACTAAGGTTATAATTAGGGTAACTATACTTATAACCCCAATTAAGGTACTTATAACCTCACTTACTAAGTCCCATGATCCTCCATTACAGAACCCTTATCGATCCCTTTAAGGATCCCTTTAAGGACCCCTGTAGTACCCTTAAAGGAACTACTAAGTCCCATGATCCTCCAAGTACCTACCTGCAGAAAAAGCCATGAGTCCCCTTATACCATTCAACCCCGAAAAGCAGCTACCTTTGGTAGTAATAGTAGTATTAGTATAGTAATAGTAGTAGTAGTAGTAGTAGTAGTAGTAGTAGTCGTAGTAGTAGTAGTAGTAGTAGTAGTAGTAGCAAGACGAACAGTTTAATCTTGATCCACGGATATCGCAATCTGTACAGCAATCTTGACAACATGTCCCACCAGTTTTGTATCCTCTGGCATGGACGAAATCACCATTCCGGTCACCCTGCACGTGCGTGCTCACCACGTGCTTGAGCTTCCTTTTTGCTCCGGTCTACCACTCTTTGGAAGGCCACGAGTGCGCCTTCTGTTCTTATCACAACTGCTAGTTTCATGTGGCTGAAAGTGTCCCTGAATTCTCGCGTTCCCATAGCTGCCATAGCTGCACAACTCATGAATGCAGGATTCGGCTGACGGCCGAGAAAACCGTCGACGAGTTCAAGCGGCTTGATGGCCTAGCGTAATATAGGGGCTTAATCGTTAGAATCAGGTCTTGGGGTATGTTATAAAAGTGTCTCTACAACAAGGAAACCTTGTGTAGTACTAATCGTAATTATTCCGACCCCTGTGTGATCTGGGTCTCTGCACGGCTTTCTTATTCATCCCTCCGAGCCCTCAGGTCGTGCCGCTGAAGAGTTCGGCCCGCCCGCAGATGTGTGACATGTGGGTCCTGGACAAAGAGATCCAAGCAAAGTGCTCGGTCTATGTTCGCCACTTAGACAGGTGCTTCTCTTGAGCGAAACGAAGAAAAGCTCGTCGGAAGGATCTTATCGGATTGCAAACCCTTAATATCAGAACAGTGTCCCAAGCTTGCAAGCCTTCCATCCACCATAAACCGTAAAGCTTCTCTGAACCCTAAAGCTTCTTGAACCCAAACTCCATGAACCACCTTGAATCGCGACTGCCTGAAACTAAAAACCTGGGTGGGCCCATGCAGCAGGTGCCTCCCGTACCAGTTCCAAAGGTCCTGCGTGAACGCCGTGTTCCACTTGGAGCGGAAAGGTGAAATCGGTTGAAGCAGTTCACTATTTCGAGTTTTGGTTTGTGGCGCAGTGGGCCTGGGGGTTGAGTTCATTTTGGGTTAAGGATGGCTCTGCATTCAGCTTCCGCCAGCATGAGCAGGTGATTTGTACTTCCGCTCGATGTTCTTCATGGTCTTTCTCGTGATCATTGTCAGCCTCTGTAGTTTGATGATTCCGCTTGAGGATATCAGTGGGAGGCTGGCGCATTTGAGTACCTGCTTCCTGGCCATCATGGCGTATCGTTACATAGTTGGCGACATGTTGCCGCGCAAGGAGTACCTCACACCAGCTGACATGATGTCATCTTTGCCTGCGGACTTCAAGTGGTCATGGTGGTCGAAACGATCCTGCTACAGTATGTCGATGGCTCGATTGCAAACACTTTACTGATCGAAAGATGTACTGGAATAGCTCTTTGGGTTGCATGGCTCGTTCTGAATCAATATCTAAGAGGATTTTCGCGATCCAAATCTCAACGTGACTGGAGAAGTGTGTACCAGGACCGTCGCGAACCCTATGTCCCCGTGAAGCGGTGTGCAGAATGCGGGGCCGCATGGCTGAGCAAGCAATGTGAGCACGGCGCCCGCAAGAAAGTCTGTCCAGAATGCGGCGCCAGAGCCGAGGCTGTGAGCACTATCTATTTGACTCCTGTGGACCATGATCCTCTTGTGAAGCCGCAAGTCTTCCCTTCTGCACCAAGCGACTTAAAGGAGGCTCCGGCCAACATCTAGAGTAATGTAGGAACCTGATAAAGAAACCCCGGGCCTGTAACCCCAAAATAGTAGGAGTCATATAAGGAGCCCAAATAAAGGCCCAGGGTTTCTTAATCAGGTTCCTACATTATCTGAGGACGATGTGCCAGCGTTATGAGGCTGGTTGTCGACATCAAGGTCCCAAATTTTTAGACGGGTGCGTGTCCCCGAATGGGATCATGCCTTTGACGATTACAAACTACATGATATCCTGACGCAATTTTCCCCTTTCCGCGTGGAGGCAGATGGTAAGGCACAAGGTCTGGTGTCCCACGATCATAAGGTCCCGGGGGGCTTAATACCTATGATAAGGACTTAATGAGAAGTATAGTCCCCTACCCCCCTCCCCCCTACCCCCCTCAGGGTCCCTATGACACGGGGATGTGCCCAGAATCTGGCGGGTGGTGGAAGCCCAAAGATCGGCGGAGCACCGCTCAGAAAACGCCCCAACCGCTGTGCTGGAATCATCGGGGAGAAAGAGCTCCCCACATCGGGCTGGTACACGAGACGGTTTCGGGCTTCAGGGCTTTAGGGTTTAGGGCTTTTGGGGGCTTATGAGGGCTTAAGTGGGCTTATTCGGGCTTCTACACGATGGAGGAAAGCACCATCAGAGTCAACGACGTAGCCCAGTCCTAGTCTTGTCCTCAGTTTCTTGAAGACTTTCCTTTTCTGGCTTCACGAGCTGTGTGTTGGTTTGTGTATGCTAGCTTGCATTACCTTGCCTTTGTGAAAACCCTAATGCTGAACCTTCACAGGTTGACCAGGGAAGGCAGGGTTCCTCAGCTGAGTTCAGTTGCCCGTTGGTTCAGCTTTGGCAATTGCGGGTCACTCCATGGATTAACCCGCAGGGGTCCACGCTCGCTTTCACTTTGTCGCAGACAGTGTATACTAGTGTATACAGGCAGCAGCAACTGGCCACAGTCCAAGCGAATGTTCTCAAACCCCAAACCTCCAAAACCCTAAACCAGCGAACCAAAGCTTTGAAGCTGCGTGCTGCAGGCCGGTTGGCGAACAGCGTGTTCAAGGTTTTTGTGAGACTGCTGTACAGCTTTCAGTTTCCAGATTGCGGCGGCAATAAGGCAGAGAAAAGAGATCTGAGCAGTATGCATGTCGCCACTTACCGAGTCGAACATGCCAACGACGTGACTTTAGCAGTAGTGGGTCGGCATGTGCGATGACTTCGTGACATGGCTTGGTGACTCACGCAGTGCATTAGCAGCGCAGTTGCAGTTCATGTCTTCAGCTGATAAGCGCACGGTGAAGCTTTGTTGGCAGTCCAATGATTTGGGAGGTTTCGTGGCCTGAGTAAGTGCGGAATGCATCACATCAACAACACTTTGGGTGTTTTCACAGACAGGTGTCATCTTGCAAAAACATTCTGCCTGGACGCTCCTCCCCTTACGCCATGAAGCACAAAATCTTAACATGTGCGAGTTCGTGAACGACTATATGAGTATGACCTGCCATGGACCAATCTGCCAGCAGCTCGAGCTCCGTCACTTCTAGCTCGACTTCCCGCTCCAGCTCGGACGCACGAGTTCTGCCTCCTCCCGTGATCGATGCTTTGCTAATGTCAGCATCTGCTGCCTTAATTGGCCCGTCGTGCGCTGAGACATGCTCATCATGCCAACGCCTGTATCTGCATTGGAAAGGTGCTAGTACTAAGAAGAGTTTAGTGTGCCAGCAGCTCCTTGGAAAGCATCCTAGTTTAGAAGGCGTTCTTCGCACAGGTTCGTGGATTGCCATGTTAGCACCATCATCGCACCATCCCCAGCAGAGCAGAGGAATCTTCTAGCGGCACAAGCCCTGGAGCAGTCGTGAAACGAATTGAAGGCTCGTGTTAGCTCTTGCAAGGAATTTGCATCCTCCCGACTTCGCCTGGTTTCCTAATGTGCTTGGCCCCCAAAACAGCTGACATGACTTCAGGAGGGGATTGCCCCTGAGGGCTACGAGAACGGTGTGCCTCTTCTGAGCTTTCGGTGTGTTGCAGACTTCTGTGTTGTAGTAACTACTACCAGGAATCTTGTTCTCATTCTTCGTAGAGTGCTTGAGCCCTGAGTGCTGTGATGCAAGTGAGAGGCTTGCACTGAGGCTTTTCCGAGATACACCCAGAATTGGACGCACGCAGGCGGAGGCAATGAAGTGGATTGCTCCCAGGCTATCAAGGTGCGACACTCTCCAAATTGGACCTTAACTCGTAAATCCCGCATTCTGAGAAGGCATCCTCTACCTCGAGTCAAGAACCCCTGAATTTCGAGAACTCGACAGGTCTATGTCGACATAGCCGCACATGAGTTGAAGAGCGTCGATGACAACAATGAACAGCTCCTTGGCCACTGAAGTTGGGGCTACTCCGCAACAGCGCCACTGCCAGGCGGAAGCCATCACACAACTGGTAACTAGTAATCTTTAAGGCAGGCAGCACGAACCACTAGTCATGACAGGCTTGCACGACGACGAAGACACGTGCCGTAGTCACTAGCACACAGTGATTGCAAGCTAAATTTGTAGTGCCGCCAACTTGTTGTTTTCAGTAGTTTTGACAGGACTGGTGATGGTAGTCAGTAGTAGTCTTTTCAGAAACGGATTCGGTGCGAGACTTTTTGCTCCAGTGAGCCATCTAGACGGCTGGTACTCTGCCAATTCCATCTCAGTTCAAACTGATAGTTGCTCTTGTTGCTAACGCGCTGAGGCATCTGCAGCATAATTGCTACAAAGGTGTTGCCAGCTCTAGAATATAGTAGACCAGACGGACAATGCTGCAGCAACAGCAAAGTGCGATTCAGCTTTCTTTTCCAACAAGCAGTACCAATATGAGCCATGGCAGAAGCACCAGCACGCCCAGCAGCAACAACAACCACGGTGCTGGCAGTCATGCAACATCGCTTATCTCAATTGCAGCCACTAAGCCCAGCAATAATCGCTTTGCACTAGTCGTAGATGAACCGCTGTCGCTTCTAGCTACGCAATCATTTCATCAGATGCTCCAAATCATGCTTATGTTGTTGGCAGCGATTTCTCACACTAGCGATCCGAACAAAACCAATGCTACTGGCTTCACAAACAGCACTCCGAAATAGCAGGAGTAGTAGGAGCAGCTGTGGATATCAGAGCAGCAGTAGCCACAGGCGTCTTCCGTTGAGACGTCTGGAAGCCTGATGCAGTACCCGAGGTTCCACATGGTGTTTGTGATGAAACTGGGTTGGCTGGATCCCGACCTCAAGAACTTCAAGTCTCGGATAAGTGTTCGAGCAACGCCGGGCACCTCAGATCTTCATTTGCGCAAGCTCGACGTCGTGATCACGAAGATGTATGCTAATGGGGACGTCGAGTTTATCGACTTATCCGACCCCAGGCAGCGAGTCCAAACATTTCGCAAAGGCGAGTATTTCGGAATCCAGGATCCTGACTGGAACGAGTATTTCTTTCCCTCCTACACCATCCTCAACCTGAAGCACGGAGCCGACGCGACCGTGGAGACCCGGAGGCTCCTCTGGTGCGACGAAAAAGGCGGCTTCACTTCCTACTTGGAGGATCATGGGACTTAGTAGTTCCTTTAAGGGTACTTTAGGTTTTTTTTTTAAAGGGATCCTTCTTGAAGGGATCTATGAGGGTTCTATCATGGAGGATCATGGGACTTAGTAAGTATGGTATTATAAGTACCTTAATGGGGTTATAAGTATAGTTACCATAAGTATAACCCAGGCGGCTTCACTTCCTATCGCATCCGCTTCGATGCGAAGCTGCAAGAGACGATGGACCTCCGGAACTTCCCGCGAGACCGGCAACTTTGCAGGACCGGCCCACTTACCTGTCCGTAGCCATTTTGGCTCAAGCCGTGGGAGCCTCAGACTTTTCTTCCCACCGATCATTCCCTTTTCCCATTGTGATGGCAAAATGGGAGGAATTTATATCCGGTGTTGAGCAATCACCTCCATCTGCTGAGATTCGCAATAGGGTGGTGAAAGCCTTTACGGATGATCTGAGAGCTGCTACTCCCTGGGATGCTGAAGGGCTCTCTGAAGACTCCTTCAACAGTTTACTGCAGGATTCTCCTCCTGCCCTGGCCCTTGCTAGAAGAACGTTGAGAAACGTGGAAGCAGCAGCAAAGGCTAGAAGAGTGCAAGTGACACAGTCCATGAGCTTGACAAGTGCCGCCGGGGTATCTGCAAGTGCCAGAGCATTGGCGGCCGCCATGTCGCCGTTGAAGACGGCAGATGCCCAGGATTTGCTGAAGAAGGCCCACTTGCCAGGCTTGCAGTTCCACTTGCAGCCAGACCAAGCTCTGTTCGATGTGCTCCAAGCGCACACCGATGAAGCGCGGAAGACGGGAAGAATTCCTTTCCATTTCGTTGACCTGACGGCCAAGGATACGCTGCCGTTGTGGGTGCCAAGTGACGGGGTGGGAGGCAAGTTCTCTTTGCGCGAAGAGGAAGAGTTAAGCCTGGCTAGCAATTCTCCGATTGGGAATTTGGGTGATCTGACAAGGGTGCTGAAGAGCGCTACGTCTACGACCAGGTTCTTTCGGTCAGTTCCGCAGTGGACGGCAGCATTCTGGAGATGGGCGGTGGCGGCCATTTCTGCAGAGCACATTACGTTGGCACAAGTTCTGGCTCATCAGGACGTGGTGTTGTCGATTTGTGAGCAAGAGAGGCTCAGATCTCGACCGCCATATGCGGGCTTTTTGTACGATGAAATGGCGAGAAGACAATGGGCTCGCAGAGCGGAGAAGAAAGATCCTTCGTTCGACCTCACCGCTGAAGCGCAGAAAGTTGACAAGGATCTGAAGGAAGTGGTCATGCAGAGGCTCGGGACAGTTCTGCGTTTGGCAGAGCTGGAGCACGATGTGATGGCAACTGCTTCAGGATCCAGGGTAGGAGAGCAGCAGTTGTCTCAGCAAATTGCTGCTGCAGAGGCAGCGCAGAGGAAAGCGGATGCTGTTACGAAGAACTTGGCATCAGCTCAAAAAGACATCCTTGCCAAAGCCGCAGCTACAGCAGCAAAACCGACGAAGGAGAGCGAGGAGACAGGTGAGAAGCAGCTCACAGGCAAGCAAAAGAAAGCGCAGAAGTGGTTCCTGAAACAGAAGGAGCGGCGAGAGCAGCAGCAGTGGAACCGTGACAAGCAGAAAGGGTCTTACTGAAGTCGTGAAGCTGTGGAGCTTGCTAGTTCCATCCTGGAGCCGATTCCGCCAGCGTTGGCGGATTTGCCCGGGGTGGGCACGATCGCAGAAACTGCTGGCCAAGATACGTTTCTTGAGATTTTCTCGGGTGACTGCGTATTGACGTTGGCCATGTCATTGACTGATCTAAAGACTATCCTTCCGTGGGACTTGCGTTTCGGAGCTGAGTTTGATGTTTTGGAACATGGCGACTTAATTTTACAAAAGTCAGAAGCAGGTGCGCTGTCTTGGGTGCATCTGGGAACTCCTTGTCAAACCTTGACATGGGCTAGGCGGCCTCAGTTACGAAGTACTGTGCGCCCGTTTGGTTTGTCAGAGCTGTCTAGGCGCCAGCTAAAGCTTGTTGCCAGAGGCAACGAGCTGGCGTTGTTTTCCCTGAAAGTGTGCCAGTGCCAGGTCAAAAGCGGCAACTTCTTTTCAATTGAGAACCCTGAGCTGTCGTGGTTGTGGATCCTCCCTCCAACGATTCAGCTGAGAAGGAGTCAGGGAGTCGGTACTGTGAGGGTTCTGTTTTCAGACTTCCAGGTGCCTTTCCACAAGCCTACAGTGTTCGTGCATAACTCTGCTTGTTTGCATGAGTTGGCGAAGGGTGAGTCGTCTTGGCAAGGTCGCACAGTTAAGTTGCGAGGTCTGGCCAGGTACAATGGAAAACTGCAGTTTCGGACCCGTTTGTCACAATGTTATCCGCCTCTCCTTGGCATCAAATTTGCAGGTCTGGTGAGGCAGACCTTGTTGGATCAGCGAGAGAGCGGAAGTTGGGAAGCGTGGTCGTCATGCGTGGATGCTATGTCATTCCAGCTCCCGGACAGTTTGCGCATTGCTGAGGCGGAAGTTGTGGCGAACTGTTGTGGCGATTGGATGTTCGTCCCGCATGGATTGGGAGCAATGAAGGGGTTGTCACCACTTGAGCATGTTGCTTTCTCATTGTCTGTATCCCACCCGTCTGAAAGTCGGAAGCAGCTTGAAGCGACGCTAAAGGATGCAATTGAGTTCGAGTGTGGGCATGAAGTTGGTGAAATTGATGCTTTTCGTTGCTCTACTCTCAGTAATTTCTTGAGACTGCACGCAAGCTTGCAGCAGGAGCACCTTGAATGGGTGCGTCAGGCACCAGCTGCGTTGCAAGGGCATGCTGCAAAGATACACGGCCCTTTGTGGAAGGTCGTGTTGCAACAGTGTGGCATGCCTTGTGAGCAGTTTTTGCATGACTTGCAGTTTGGTTTTCCCCTCGTTGGTGATTTGGCAGCATGTGAAGGAGAAAGCGTGGCTTGCCAATTTGAGGCCGAAATTACTGTTGAGGAGCTTGTGAACAGTCGGCATGATATCAATGAGAGGGTCATTGCGTCAGTGAGCGAGTTGCCTTTTTCTTGTGATATTTTGAGTCAAGCTTTGCAAGATTCGGAACAAGGTTTTATGTCGACACCACGGGCCTTTGCTCCGGGTGATGCTTCACATCTGTCTTTGACGAGACGGATCCCTGTTAGAGAGGAGCGCTCGAAAGGTTGGAGGACCAGGGTGGTCGACCATAGCACTGAAAGTATGGTCAATGCTGCCACCGTTCCTTGCGACAGAATCAAACATCACACGTTGGATGATTTGGCGGACATGGTAATGTGCTTCTTCGAAAGTAGCTGCCAGGTGTGCTTGTGGAAGGCTGATATTTCACAGGCATTCCGCCGTGTCCCCATCAGGACTGAACATATGCAATTTGCATGGACCGTGTGGATGCACTTAGGTTGCTTGCTCGTGGCGCAGCACACAGGTATGCCCTTTGGCACCGTGTCAGCAGTTTACGCTTGGCACCGTGTTGGTTTCATGTTGTGTCATGTCGTGCGGGTGTTGTTTTTGTGTCCAGCAGCCAGATACGTTGATGACTTTTTCGGAGCATCACGCCGTGGTGTTCGTTGGCATGCGGGACGTGTCCTTGCAGTGATCTGCAAGTTGCTTGGTTTTCCCGTTGACGACGATAAATCAGCAGAAAACGACATACGGTTGATAGTCCTGGGCGCCGAGTGTGAAGTTGATTGGCCAAGGCGTCAGTTACGCACTTGCGTTGCCCCGGCAAAGGCAGCGAAATACAGATGCCAGCTGCTTGGTGTCATAGCTGGCGGAGTGCTCACACCAGGTGACGCTTCCAAGTTGGCTGGTCGCTTGTCCTTTGCTGTGACAGTGTCGGGCAACAGGGTTGGTCGAGCATTCATAAAGCCGTTCCATGCTCAGGCAAACCAACCATTGTTCAACAATGCTGTTTCTCCCTTGTTGAGGCAGGCATGCAGTTGGTTCCTGCAGTACCTTGAACACTGTCCCACTTCCGTGCGTCTGCTCGCCCCGTTGACGCGGTCACGAGTCGTTTCGTGGACCGACGCGTCTGGTGAGTCACGGTGGGTGGCTGCAGTGTTGTACTACGAAGGAACGTTCTTATGGACACGAGTGCGCACGCCCGATCGAGTGTGGCAAATGCTATTGCCGAGGGAGGATCACCAAATAGGTTTTCAAGAGTTTCTCGGCGTTCTTTTGGCCTGGACCACATTCAACAATTTTCTGCGAGGGAGTTTGTGGATGGCCTTTGTAGATAATGACTCCGTTCTTCATGCTATCACCAAAGCAAGCGGAGGAACCGCAGAAACTTCTTTGTGTATAGGGCGGTTGTGGCTTGAAATAGCTGTAGCTGGAGCTGATCTCCACTTGGGCCGGGTGGAAAGCGCGGCGAATGTCGCAGACGGTCCTACGCGAGATTCTTTCCAATTCCTGGCTAATTTGAAAGCCACGTGGGTCGAACCCAAGCTGCCGCTTTGGCTAGAGAACTTCTGGGAGATTCCGTCTGTGGGATAGTGTGGAAAGACGAGGGTGTGAGTCAGTTCAATTTTTTTTTTGTCTCATGTCAGTTAGCCTTGCAACTATTGTACACTTGGCAGCATGAAGGCTCCACAGTGCGCAGAGTGGCTAGTGCACGTTGCCATGCTGTGCTGGGTGACACTGCGGTGTCGTTGCCCAGCCATGGTGTGCGGGGGCGTCTGCTGCGTCATATGAACGGGCAAGATCACGCGATCTGCAACCAAGTCTGGCTGGCCCAGAATTGGGTTCATGAGACTGTGAAGGCATTCACGCGCCATTTTGGCGATCAGCTGGCTCGTCAACTGCGGGCAGCCGAAGCATTGCAAGTTAGTGCTTTGGTGCTCCAGCGTTCGGGTGCAGGCGTTGTTCTTCGATCTGAGGAAGTCTGGCAGATGTTGCCCCGCGAGTGGGAAGCCAGACGGATTGCACTGTTGAAGAGGTGGAAGGACATTTGCCAACATGACACGAAGAATGCGAAGGGACCTGGGGTGAAACCCTTTGGCAGCCATAAACCCTCCGTCTTTTTGCAGAAAGTCTTAGACCTGCGCGAGTCACTGCGCCAGCTAGACAAAGCGGATGACACGCAGACGTGGCATCATGAAGGTGCATTAGTGCTCATGTCGAAAGGGTTCGAGTACCTTCATCAGTTGGACGGCTTGCACCGGCGGGACATTGCCCGTTGGTCTGATAACCAGAGGGTGCAAAGTTTATTAAGCCTTGCAGTCACTTCTGTGAATGAATCTGCTGAGTGTAAGAGGCAGAAGCGTTACCATGCGTTGGAGTCTGCCCAAGCTGGAGCACTATCGGCGGCTGACGTCGCAGATCAGTCCCGCAATGTTGAGGCGCAGTGTCCCGCGTGGCAAAGTGGAGGGCCTCGGGAACAGATTGCTGCTCTGGGGAATATGGACGAAGACTCCCGGTTGTTGGCACTGGAAGCACGGGCAGCCGAGCTGAAAACGCAGACGCAGAGAAAAAGCTTGCCCTCAGTAGCATCTGGCCTCAGGTGTTGGCATTCTTTTGCCCAACAAGTGCTGCAATATCGTGATGAGGAAACTCTCCCGCCGAAGTGCGCGAGACACGTTGTGCAGTTCGTGACGATTTTTCGAAATCCAGGGACTGCCAGGAATTATGTTTCTTATCTGCGCTGGGCTTGCGAGTTTCATCGTTTAGATACCAGCTGGTGCGACCAGGAAGTTCAGATGGTTATTCGAGGGCTTGAGAAAAGCTATGTGGCAAGCATTTCAGGCCAACTAATTGACCGTCCGCTTTTGACAGAACAGCTGGTGACATTGCTTGTGCAGCAATGCGATCGCACACTTGGTTGGGGCCAGATGGGGGACCTATTTTCAGTCGCATGGCAGTTTTTGCTGCGGGTGCCAAGTGAAGGATTTCCAATCCAGTTTGGTGCACAAGAAGACTTGTGGTGTCTGCCTGAAGGCCGTCATTCTGCCATAGTAGTGGATGCGAGTTTTTGCACCCAGCTAAGGCTCCGAACTCGGAAGAACAGGCCGCGTGGTTCCCTGTTGGTCCGGCCCTGTTGTTGTAAGTCTTCTGCTCTCAGCCCCTTGTGTGTGGGCCACCGATTGGCTGAAAGATCATCACAGGTCTGCGCAGGTGAAAGGCTGACTGCCATGTCACCGTCTGAGGGACTCAAGGTTCTCCACAAAGTTTTGGCAGACCTGGGCATCGCCGGACCCTCCAGGTATACATGGAAAGCCTTCCGGGCGGGGAAGGCAACTTGCATGATGGCACAAGGCCACACTCTGCCTCAAGTCCTTTCTGCTGGAGAATGGAGGAGTCAGGCGGTGTTGAAGTATGTTGACGAAGATGTCATCGAAAACGCGGCTTTCTTGAGAGCGATTGAGTCTGAGGAAGATGCCTAACAAAAGATGCTGCGTTGGGTGTCAGTAGGCAACGTTGGGAACGAACCCTTACCGTGGACTGCACGGTCATTCAAGAGCCAAGTGTTGACTGTGACTGTCCGTGCTGTGTGAAAGGCAGCATGTCAGCAGTCCTCTTGAACAAGGGGGGCTTCAGATTCCGAGGTACTGCTGTGAACCCCAATGCAATCACAGTGCCGGCAAAAGATTCACATTGCGGGAATCGGCCGGGGTTTTGTTAGGTCTTCGGATTGTTTGGATTGGGTCATTTGAGGAGTGGACATTTTGGGTCTGAGGCAATTGTGACGGAAATTTGTGTGAGCAATACATGCGAAGAATGAGCTTGTTATGCCGCACAAATGAAGTCATCCATGTCACACAGCCGTGGGAGCCTCAGACTTTTCTTCCCTCCCTATAAACCCACCCAGAAAAGATGCTGGCATGGTCGGAACGAACCCTTTACCGTGGACTGCACGGTCATTCAAGAGCCAAGTGTTGACTGTGACTGTCCGTGCTGTGTGAAAGGCAGCATGTCAGCAGTCCTCTTGAACAAGGGGGGCTTCAGATTCCGAGGTACTGCTGTGAACCCCAATGCAATCACAGTGCCGGCAAAAGATTCACATTGCGGGAATCGGCCGGGGTTTTGTTAGGTCTTCGGATTGTTTGGATTGGGTCATTTGAGGAGTGGACATTTTGGGTCTGAGGCAATTGGTTACTACGGAATGGAGGAAGGGTGTAGAATGATAACTACTATTACTACCATTCTTCCATTCCCTACTAACCACAGGTAAGCCTAGGGGGAGTTGCAGCTGCAAAGTGTTGAGGGTTTAGGGTCATCGATTTGTGGATGCATCGTGTGAGGGCGGGCAAGGCGTGCACGCGAGACCGCGAACGCAAAAGCAAAGCCCCTGTCATTTCGTCGCTTCCAGTGTCCGTGCGAGGATCAGGATGACAGCCGAAAAGCCTATTGAGGAATTTCAGCAGCTTGACCAGTGTTATTACACAGTACAAAATGGTTTCGTTTCAACTGGATTTTGGGTAGACGTTGAAAGTCTAACTGGTTGCCGTCGACGAATGCATGTGCAAGGTTCGTCGTGCTCAAGGGCGAGAAGGGCATCAGCCAGATGTGCGGTATGTGGCAGCTGGATGGGGGCACTGTTTATGCACGCCACCTGGACAGGCGCGGAGCGAAGCTTCAGAGTTTTCTCCTGACCTGAGTGCCTTTGAACGAAGCCGCATGTTCCTTTCCTAAGAGAGCTGGTGCCAGAAAGAGCGTCACAGATATCGCGAAGCAGTCACCTCTGCCAATCAGAAATCGTTCTTGTAGTCAGCCATCCAAGTTTGGGCTTGCTGCAGGTACCTGCTGTTTCCGAGCCAGCGTTCTTGCGTGAACGCCGTATATCACCTGGAGCGGGAAGGTGACAACAATGGGTTTGATTTTGCCATTGGCAGTTGTTCATGTCAATGTGGCGTGAGGGTAGTCGAAGCAACATTTTTTCAGCATCTTGTTTTGATGACAGGTGAGTACTACATGAATGGTGTGCTGCTTCTCATCTTTCTGGTGAGCATTTTTAGCCTTTGCACCTTCTGCATCCCACTTGACGATGTCAGCGGACGACTGAAGCATTTGAGCACCTGCCTTCTTGCGGTCTTCGCGTGCATGTACGTCATCAATGACAGGTTACCTCGCAAAAGGTACTTCACAGGGGCTGACGCATACATCATCTTTGCATGCTCTTTTCAAGTGCTTCTTGTCCTTGAAACGTTATGTTTCCAAATTTTCGGCTTCCTGGAAAGTCCAACGTTGACGGACCGACGTGTCGGGTTGGCACTCTTGATCGTGTGGTTGACGGTGAACTGCTTGCTGCGCTGGCGGTGGAGGCGCGACACTGACGCGAAAGCGAAAGCAGCCTGGCAAGCCGTGTATCAAGCCAGTCGTGAGCCGTACGCTCCAGTCAACGAGTGCTCAGAATGTGGAAAACAGTGGCTCTGCAAGCAGTGCGAGCATAAGAGTCCCACAAAACGCTGCTTTAACTGGCCGACTTGCTATGGCGAAGGCGACAGCATCAAGACCATCTACAAAACTCCATGGGATCAGGAAGTCCCTCTCGTGGCAGCGCAAGACTTCCCGCAGCCGCCAGCTCATTTGAAGCAGGCTCCTGCCGGACACGGCACACAGAAGTAACGATGTCAGATCAACAGCGAGGTGGTGGAGATTGCCGAAGCAACACTTTTTGCAGGTGTGCGGTCTTCGAATTGTCGAAGTTCTGTTGCCGCAACCCTGCGCAAGCAAATGGGCAATTCCCGGCAACATTACCCGCGGCTGCATGGGTTTCGCAGAGCTATCGCAACTTTGCACTCGCGCTGTACTCCTTGGAAGTTCAAGCCCATGATCGCTGACCACGACGCCGTGCAAGTCGCTGCTCCAACCCCTTCTGCAGGTCGCTGAGGTCGAACGCATCCGGGCCGGTCATCCACATCATTGAAGCATCTCGATTTCTTTCGAGGGAATCGGTGCACCGTCGTGCTGGATTTGCTTGTACACTTGTCTGGGAGCTGTCAGGATTCAAAGCATGAGAGTTCCACACCTGACTGCACTGCGGAAGCTCAAGCTTATCGAGTGGCTCGTACTTAAAAGTCTTGCCTGAAGCATGGAGTGTTTCTGCTCTGCAGCATTTGGCAGTTGACAACAAACCGATTCGACTCCTGCAGCTACGTTGTAGGCTTCTGGTTTGGTTTTCGACTATGGCTTGATGACACATCATGAAGGCACAACTATAGGTTTCGTGCGTGGCTGCTTCATGAAATGCTCACCTCCTGTGGACACTAGGACAACAATCGACTCTGCACCTGCGACCGCTGGAAGTTATTGCTCAGCCTCTGTTTCATGCAGTGAGGTTCTAGAAGACGCTTGCATAGACCTGCGATTCAACAAGAAAAGTCGACGTACCAGAGCCAGAGACTAACGCTCTTCAACCGTGGTTGTAGATCTTCTGAAGAGTGCTCGCTGGGCCAACCATGGCTTGGCAATCGCTCATGGTCTCGGCGGGGCAGTCGGTCCCCCATACCGGTTGCTGTGAGCCAGATGTAGTTGAATCCTCTGACGTATTGAATCCCTCTGACCGTCAAAAGGCCTTCGTCCTCATTGTGGGCGGTGGCATGGCATCGCATTGGGCTTCTATCTGGATATTTGAGGCGAAGGCAGACATTTTCTCAGTAGAACTGACTGCAGTGGAAGACACGACTGGGTACCGGTGGCGCCGAGCCCGTGGCAAGATGCGCCATTTGCTGTCCTCCAAGACCACCTGCATCGGCGCCACATCAAGCACTACTACACAAGCTTTCTTCGAAACGACAGCGTCAACTGGCTGGCCTTTTCCTGCTGGTTTTGCTCGGGAAGCAGGTGCCAGCCTCGTTCAGGATGATGACAGCGAGTACGGTTGCTTTTTGCCTTGTGCGGATTCTCGAGACATGCTGGACAAGAAAGCTGCGGAAGCGGTGGACTACATTTGCAGCAGGGCTTCCGTCGATTCGTGCATGGCAGAAAAACGTGACCATGTCCGAGACTGCATCGTTAACTTTATTGCCAACGGGGGAGGGTCCAATTACATCATGACAGGAGGCGTTGAATCTGAGAGCAGGGGCGGAGTGATCGAGATCGAAAGCACGACACCCTTTCAACTCTACCACCGCTCACAGCAAGTGTCACTCCACGGTTCCTTCTACGATCTTCTCTTTCACAACTGCCAGCTATACATACTCCAGCTGATGCACGACAAATACAAGGTGGAATTCTCGCAGCTGCCACGGGCCGTAGGAAGTGTTGCAGCCGGTCCACTCATGCTCACGTTAGAGGTTATCTTCATGGCAGTCTTCTCAGGGCTGGAACAGGTGCATGCCTCGCTGTCTGTGGCTGTTGGAGTTCTGTGGATTCTTGCGGAGATGCGTGCGACGTACATGTACGAGCACAGCGACGGGTTCTGGAACGGCACTCTAGCGACAATTCTTATCCTGATTTACGCTATGTTCGACGAAAGGCACCACTTGGCCGTCACTATTCCAGTGCTCAGTTTGTTGTGGGACGTGTGCATGGTGAAAGAGGCGATGATTGTGAACAAGGTCTATGAGAGCAAGCGGCTAATTCTGCTGAATGCAACTGGGTTCTTGTTAAGGAAGTTAGTTTAAGTTACCATAGTAATACGGTAACTGAAAGTAAATCCCTTAGCCCCCAAGCCCTTATAGAACCCTTAAAGGAACGCTAAATTACGGTAGCTTAAACCAACCCCCTTTACAAGAACCCTGTCTGGTTCTTAGTAGGGAATGGAGGAGTGGATCCCTACAGTAGTCCCTATGTAATCCCCAATAATAGTCTCCATAATCCATTCCCCCATTCCCTACAAAGAACCAGACAACCACCTCGGACCCTAATATAGTACCCTAAATAGTAGGATCCTTATTTGTAGGGACCCCAAAATACGGTATCCCCGAATTTTCGGAGACTCGAAGCCCTAAAAGAGCCCAGGCCATCTGTGTTCTGTTCGCCCTGGCTGTGGTCTGCCTCTTCCAGGTGCTTCGGGGATGGCCCGTCATGGACCTGCTAATTTCAGGTGCCCTTCCGCAGCTTCTGCTCCTAGCTCGCGGAAACCGGCGGATACTGACCTGCATTTTTGACGAGTTTTTCCACGCCGACATTCTGCTTGAGTCGTTGATCGTTCTCTTCAGGCTTAAAGAGCCCCTGCCACACAAGGTGGAAGATTGATGGGAGGCCAGTGGCAGCTCCCCGATGAGGTGCTGCAACTGCTTCGCTTCCACAAGGTTGCAGTACCTTCCGGCACAGCGGCCCAAAATCCACTGAAGCTTCCTTGAAGGATGAGGGGAATTTGAAGGGCAGATGCACATTCTGGGGTTTCAACTTATCACAACCCTACTTCTAGCTCTACTTGCCAGGCCCCCTGATCCTTTTAAGTACGCCTACAGTTTCCGTCGAATGGGAATGGAAGAGCTCCGCTGTACACGTGACTCCTACCAGGAGCTCAGCCATCTTCGATTGAAAGGGTTCTACACGGGGTTCTATAATATAACAATGACCACTGGCGCCTGTGTGGAAACAAGCTGAAGATCGCATTCAATGTAACAGTCTGCAAAGCTCGAATGAACAACCCTAAACCCTAAGGGCTGGATGCTGAAGCGTATGCCATACGATCCCGCCCAAGTCCACGCTCTTGGGATACCCTTGTTTTTGAAACGGGAAGTGCCGAGCCCAGAAAAGTGAGATGCATCAGAAACACATAGTAACCCCCGACATCCTGAACTCTCAGATCGAAACCCTCCCGTCCCGGGCCTACCCTGGGCGGGAAGTAAAGAAGATTCGGGCGTGGAGTTTCCAGCATTGGGCTACTGATGCACATGAGCGGCTACTTAGTTGCCGGCGTGTTGGCTGTATCGCAGGGGAGCGGTCAAGTTCAGCGTCCCAAGGATGTAAAGGTCTGAAGGCCCCTTGCCAAGTGTAGAGCAACTTTGGTCCGGAACTTTGGCAATCCTGGTAGCTTCGGGGGATTGCCAACCCGCAGCTTTTCTGGCACCGGAGGATCCTTGGAGAGGTCTGGTGTCTTGAACAAGTGCACGAGGCACGTGCAGTATGTCCCCAAGCTGCACCTTTCAACTTTACGTGTCTTCGCGACCGTCCGTCCGGCTCTGTTGCACAGCATTTTGTCAACATGTGGAGGGATTTAGGGTTTAGGTCTTAGGGATGCGGAAGCTATCGCTTATCGCTTTGGCCGAAATTGCCATGGCCACAAATGCCCCTCGCACGGGGCATAGCAGCTCCGTCATCTCCCGAGGTCGGCCCTGTGATGCGATAATTAGAACAGGGTTTTGGGGGTATATTATATTATAATTGTGATCAGAAGCCCCCCGAAATAGTATCAGTAACTGTTCAGGCCCCCACTTTACCTTCTCGGTCGACCCGACCCGCCTCCGTCGGTAGACATACACTACTTACGCGGTGTGCAGAGAGTTGCGTGCCTCAACTTAGAGGATCATGGGACTTAGTAAGTAAGGTTATAAATACATGAATTGGGGTTATAAGTATAGTTACCCTAATTATAACCCTAGTTACTAAGTCCCATGATCCTTTAAGAAGAGGCCTCCCGAGCAGGTAAGAAAACCAATTGGTCCGGGTCCAGAATAGAGGCTTGCATCAGCATTTACCTGCAAAAGCCATCTGCAAAGCGAGCCGCGGTATTACAGGGTGTGATGTGATATCATACATCGAAGAGCAGACAGGTGTTATAACACAAGATATCGTGCGACACGTCACCCGGATTTGGGCAGCGGAATGTTTCGAAGCACAAACCGAGAGCGGGGCTTCCGGGATCATCCCGATGTTCATGTTCCAGCAACACCATGAATCAATGCGGCCTTCTTTCAAGTTGTATGGCTGACGAGGCTCGCCGTTTCGCATGCTGCCAGGACCTCGGTACTGCCTGTCAGGTGAAAGTCGTTATGGCTTTCTAGTAGATGAGAGGCTGACGGTTTCATCTGTTGCTGTGCCTTCACGCGCAGCCCTGGGTTCTCCCTGTTTCGCAACAATGGCTGTAGCCTGGGCTGAAATTGCTCTTGCATCGTGTTGCAGGCACGTCATACTGTGCATGGACACTGTTGGCAATCTGCAGCTTCGTAGGACTCTGGGCCATGTCGTCAGTGCATCCATTAATGGCCCTGACCGGGCGGTCTGCTCCAAATGCTCAGCACGGCTGGGAGCCAGGCTTGGTGACACCAAAAACTCCGTCTTCTATTCACCTACTGCGGAATCACGAACGTCAGAAGGCCTTCGTGCTGATTGTCGGGGCTGGAAAGGCCTCGCATTGGGCTTCTCTGTGGATGTTCTCAGTTTCAGGAGAAGTCTTCGCAGTAGAGCTGACTGCAGTCGAAAGCGATACGGGGTATCGTTGGAGTGAATCCAACGGCAAAATGCGTCGTTTGCTACCTGCCTGCGCGGCCTGTGGCATTTCCAGCTCCAGAGCCGCGGAATCTTGCCACAACTGGACGACCTCCGTGTTTGCGGATATTTCGGATTCGGTCGGTCTTGACCGACAGGTGAGCGGCGCCAACATAGAGCAAGAGACCAACGAGTACGAGTGCCTGCTGCCTTTTACTACTTCGGCGGATTCGCTGAGCTTGAAAGTTGGGAAAGCGCTAGACGAAATTTGCAGCGACCCTTGTGCTTCTGGGATTAGAGACCGGCGCGAACGTATTCAAAAGTGCATCGTGGACTTCATCACGCTGAGCGGACGCTTCAGTGACATTATGGGAGGAGCCGATACGGGAAATTACCTGATTGAAATCGAGAAACAACACCCTTTCAGCTCTACCACCGGTCACAGCAGGTATCAATGAATGGGTCTTTTTATGACATTCTCTTTCACAGCTGCCAGCTCTATATTCTCCAGCTCATGCATGACAAGTACGGGGTGACATTATCCAAGCTACCACTCGCGGTCGGATCGGTTGTGGCAGGTCCCGTCATGCTCACCTTGGAGATCGTCTTCATGCTTGTGTTTGCAGGGCTTGAGCAGCTTGAGCCCTGGCTTGCTGTGCTCATTGGCATTCTGTGGATAATGGCAGAGATGCACTGCACGTACATGTACGATGGCAAAGATGGATTCTGGATTGGAGCCTTTGCGACACTTCTGGTCTTGCTCTATGCTCAGTTTGACAAAGCTCACCCGCTGGTGCACACGATTCCAGTACTTAGTTTGCTGTGGGACACGTGCATGATCAAAGAGGCCATGCTTGTCAACAAGGTGTATGAGAGCAGTTGGTTAATGCTTCTGAACGCATTCTGGGTTCTTTTAGCTTTGGGTGTGGTTTGTCTCCTGCAGCTGCTTCGTGGATGGCCTGTTTTGGACCTCGTTATTTCAGGTGCGCTTCTGCCGGTCCTGCTTATGGCGCGGAAAGCCAGCATGTACTGTTTTGTGGAGTTCTGTCATGCCGATCTTTTGGTTGACGCGCTGAAAGTTCTCTTCCGGCTCGAGGGGCCATAAGAGATGGGAGCTTCCGAAGATAGGGGGTACCTTATTTTGGGGTCCTTATAGTAAGGATCCTACCATTTAGGGTACTATAGTGGGGTCCCCTATTTTCGGAAACTCCCATCTGCTGCTGACAGGTTGTTACACTCGACAAGAGCCCAAAGAGGCTTGCGTCGGCACAATTGCTGCGACAAATTGGTTTGCAAACCACACATTCAGCAGATTCTAGTGACGAGAGTGCAGGAATACATGCATTGCAACTGGCTAGCCGCGTGAATCAGTGAAACCGTCCAGGCCAGAAGGAGCAAATTGAGTCAAAAGGCTCTTAAACGGTGTCTTGTCTCTTCTTGTATCTCAATGGTCCATCTTTGCTCGTGGCTTCCCTCGGGGTGTTTTTGAAGCCCCTGTTGCTAGACTTCCGTGACCGAGGAGAGAAGGTCATGTCCATGTGTTGCTGGGGGAAGACTCAGTCCTTTACTCTCCACGGAGCTGTGACACCGGACAAAGCACGCAAGCCCAAGCCCAAAGCCTTCACATCAGAAGCCCAAACCGGAAATCCCAAAGCCTTAACCCTAAACCCTAAACCCTAAACCCCTAAACCCTAAACCCTAAAACCTGAAACTGAAATCACTCCCGAAGCGAGAGAGCAAGAGCCCAGGTCGCTGATGACTCAGCCGTCTCAGCAGACCCAGGCTCGTGTCTCAGCCGAAGCTCGAAACTCCTACTTAAAGGATCATGGGACTTAGTAACTAGGGTTATAATTAGGGTAACTATACTTATAACCCCAGTTAGGATACTTATAACCTTACTTACTAAGTCCCATGATCCTCCGAATACGCCCCTAAAACAAAGTCCTAAACCCCAAACCCTACGTCCTAAACCCCGAAACAGCTCATCTTCTTGCCTGAGCAGGCGATGAGCTCAAAGCAGACCCAGCGACTTCTGGGAGATCACCCGTGTTTGCCCCGGAGTTGGCTACAAGATTATGACTTTTTAGAACGATCTGCAACCGAAAGTGTTCGGAGCATGAATGTAGTCTAGGTGTTTGATCTGAGTATCTGCTGTATTCGGTAATGTCGAAGAGCATGAGCGGAAGGATCCTAAATCCTGCTGTAGCCACTAAACCCCGAACCCCAAATCCTGCTGTAGCCCCTAAACCCAAAGCCCCTAAACCCTAAGCCTCCAAACCCTAAGCCCCTAATCCCCAAGCCCGCCCCGGCGCCAAAAAAAGCCCCTAAACCCACAACCCTAAACCCTAAACTCTACTACGATACCCTAAACCCCAAACCCTACTACCCTAAACCCTACTACCCTACTACCCTAAACCCTAAACCCACAACCCTAAACCCTAACTCCTGGACAAGGCCAAGGCAGGACTCTCATGCAAACTTCCCGTCCTACTACAAAGAGCGGTGATTACTTGGAGGTTCATGGGTAGTTATAAGGTTCCTTTAGGGGTCCCTTTAAAGGGCTCTATAGGGATTCTATAAGGGTATAGGGTTTAGGGCCTACTTGGAGGTTCATGGGTAGTTGTAACTGGGGTTTTAAGTCCCTGACTATGGGCTGTAATTCTGGTTACCCTACTTGTAACTCCACTTAATAGCTACCCATGAACCTCCAATTAGTGCAGATAATTGGTTATACTTGGAAGCTCCTCAATCCGGGGACCAACACCAAGCCCTTCTTGGAGGTTCATGGGTACTTGCAACCCACTTCTACCTACCGTTTGAGGACATTTTGGGCGTAAGGGTTTGTCGGTCCTCGAAGGTGCTCATGAGCCCCGAGGGTGAGGTGAAGCTTTGCTCCTGTGGATCCGAGAGGTCTTGGGGTGGCGATGCTGCTACTCTCAGCGAAGAGAGACTTTGAAGAGGTTTTTCAGCCCCCCCTCATTCATGCTGCCTTGGAGAATGGAGATGTGGCTTTTATTCCAGCTGAACGTTTGCCAGGCATTCCGCAGGCGCTACAGCTCGTCTGGGACATGGTTGCTTGGAGAAGGTCCATCAGTTGGTTTGGCTCACGCGTGTCGGCGGATTCGCTTTGTTACTTCGACGTTGAGAAGCATCCGGGCGTTCGGGGCTATGTGGCGCTGACCATCGACGATGCCCCATGCCGCCTAGGGCCCAAGAACTCCATGCTGCCTGAGATCCGAAGGCTTCTGAAAGAGCATCAGGCACAGGCCACCTTCATGCTCCTGGGGAAGTTTGTGTCTGGTAGTGAAAACGACCTCCTGGACCTTTTAAGGGACGGACACGAGCTGGGGAATCATGGTCTTGTGGACAAGAGCTACTTGGCCTCCTCTGCGAAAGAGTTTGAGGAGATGGTCGACGAGTGCTCAGCACATATCGGCGACTTGCAGCGACGTGCCGGAATTTCTGCCGCGTTTCCCTGGTTTCGGCCTCCCCATGGCCAGATGAGCTCCGCAATGACGGAGATTGTGAAGCACAAGGGCCTCAAAGTTCTCATGTGCGACGCCTACGCCTGCTGCCCCGTGATTCAGGATGTCAGGGGACCTGAAAGTTGGTAGTTACTGGTAGGATCAAACTAGTATCAGAGCTTTTACATGGCTTTACGTTTGCCTACTCCAAATCCTGGATTTCGACAGCACATGAAGTTGGACAAGGGCCCGCACAAAAAAGAAGAGCCCCTAAACCCTGAAACCCTAAACCACTAAACCCAAAACTCCTAAACCCAAAACCCCTAAACCCCAAAACTCCCCAAACCAACCTTTTTTCTTGCTGTTTTTTTGAGGATGGCGACTTCATCGGGCGCTTCCTGGCGCGCAGGGCGGAGCACGGCTCCATCCTTCTGCTGCACATGCCCGAGCACGGCTTTCGCGAGCCTGGGACAAAACCCACCCTTTTTGACGTAGCTTCTTTTACGGGGTTTGGCATCTCCAGGCAGATATCTTTTGGCATGCTTTTTGTTGGGTTTAGGTTTACTCATAGCACTTTGATGTCTAGGCTTGCCGGGAGGACTCTTCCCTCGTTTCGCGCTTCGGGGTTGCGTTGAGGGTGCTAAACTGCCAAACTCAGGAATGGTGTTGGCTCGGCCTGCAGACGCTGCTTCGGCAACTGCAGGCGCGCGGCCTGCAGGTGGTAACTGCCGGGAAGCTGGCCGAGCTAGCCGGGTGGAGTCCGGACAGGCTTTAGCTTGCTCAGATCTTTCAAGTTTACGTCTTTGGACTGCAAAGGGTTGTAAGTTGTAGGGTTTAGAACTCTGCAGGATTCAGGTCCTCAGGGCTTGGTGTCGAGAGTTTGGGCTTCAGGGTTTCAGGTTGCCGGTTTCAGGGCTTGAGACTGTTTGGTTCGGGTCGTAACGTGCATAAGTATGCAGTGAAATCCAGTGCCGACAGTGGCGCTCTGGTTTGAAGTTGCTGGAGTCCGGTAAGGGAGCAAAGGAATCCAGCACATCACGGTCTCACGGCGAAAGCGACCATGCAGCCATCGCTGAGTCTGGAAATGCTGGATCGGAGTTTTGAACGTAGTGTCCAGATGCAGAAGATTTCGGGAGTGCAGTGAAACATTTTCCATTCTTCTTACAATTCAGAATGTGCTCGAGTGATGACGTAGTTCCGTTCCAGATTCACTTGAGTTGTGCTTGGTTCCCCGCAGGAGCGAAGATAAAGAACAACAGTAGAACTGGCAAAGATATGATCAACGATGTGATTAGCTTTGTCGGCACTTCTGAAAAAGGTGAGGACAAGCACACATGGGACGCGTTCTTTAGTAACAACGACAACGGTATGCAGAAGTTTCTTTATACTACCGTCCGTACTGACAGCAATAGCATCATCACTACTAGCAACAGTGAAATAGTTGTATGGGGTGAAGAGATACATGCCCGCTACAACATGGCAAGGAGAGAAATAGTAGCAATCGAAACGCAAGTTGTAAAGCCTCCGCACTATTTTCACTATTTGCATCAACAGTTCTCATGATGACAATCAGGCCTGCAACTGCAAGTGTGATAAGTGTTATGGCTCGGATATTGATGTCTGTTGTGGGTGAGAGTCCGGTTGAGATCCAGCGCATTAGGAATGGACATCGATGGTTACTTCTACCATTGTTGCCAGCGCAGGAAACATGTCAGAAGCTCCTCTGACTGCCATTCTTAGCCGGTCCACTGGTTTGCACTGGTCCTCTGGTAGACAAGGCGCTGTGCTCATATTCATCAGTGCTTGTGGCCTACGTTAGGGGCCTAACTGGGGTTCCCTATAATAACTATAGTGCAAAATGCCCCAAAACCCAATTCAAATCATTAAGGCCCCTATTACTTCCTGGGGCCGTTTGCGCAATGGCATCGGATCTGCACCTCTACGCAGATGGCTATGACGACGACTGCGTACCTCTACCAAAAGCCGGTGAGTTTCGCACTTCGAGTAGCGTTCGGCTTCTGGCAAGCAAGGATTCGGGGTGTAGGGTCTGCACATTGGGCCGTGGCTTGGTTCACTTGCGGACGGGGGAGAGTACCGCTTACTGAGCCTCCTTCCTGTTCGTCGGAGCAGTCTAAACTGCTGACGCATCGGACAGTGGCTGTAGGATGCTGTAGGGGACTTCATAACTACGAATACGATTGTGGGGGTTCCAAAAGATGATTATAGTGTAATATACTCCAGAACCCCAGTCTAAACTATGAAGGCGGCTTTATTAGGGGCATCATGCCTTTGGGCTGCCTTGAGAAGTGATGAATTTATGGGGCACGGACGTCAAGCCAAGGTACTTCGGGACTATATCCAGAACTGCGACAACCGTGACGGTGGCACTCCTGTGGATTGCTCTAAAGCTATCAAGGTCTACATCGACATAGTCGCACATGAGCTCAAAAATGTCGATGATCATCGTGAGGAGCTCTTTGGCAAACAGCTGGTCCTACGTCTTTCGGAGTGGGGTTCTTCCTGTAGGCATGATGTACTGTTCTAAGCTTTTGTCCACCCATGATCCGAGATTCCAAATGGTCTTCATGCTGAAGCTCAGCTGGCTCGATCCCGACCTGAAACACTTCAAATCAAGCATCACTGTTCGCGACAGAAGCGGTTTCACGAAGCTTCATCTGCGCCAGCTGGACGTTGTTATCACGAAGATGTATTGTAATGGCGACATCGAGTTTATCGACAATTCGAACCTTTCACAGAAGCGTCAGCTCCTGCGCAAGCATGACTACTTCAGCATTCAAGAGCCAGAGTGGAAGGAGTATTTCTTCCCGTCATATATTTTTCTTAATATGAAGGATGACGCTGTGCAGCCCATTGAGACAAGAAGGCTGCTTTGGTGTGGTGAGGAGGGTGGCTTCGTCTCCTATACAGTGAAGTATGACGCGAAGTTCAAGGAGAAGCTCGATCTGAGAGCCTTTCCCAAAGATCTTCAGCTGTGCAGGACAGGACGCCGTTGCTTTCCAAGTTAAGGGCTTTGTACTTGCGAAATCAGGCGTCTTCCTGGCTGTGCAACGTAAGTCGGCCACCCCGGCCAAACTTGCAAACAAGAGCCTTGTAGCGACGACTCGCGCGACTCGGAGCACTTTCAAGTGTCTGCACCATGGAGTGCAGCCTGGGGGCTTCAAGCCTTGGTTCGTTTTTGCCAGTGAGTTCGCAGTCGGATTTCTCAACACAGGTTTGATTATACCCTGCTTCCAGTGTTCAACCAACCCTGAATCATGCAGGGAGGCCGAGGGCAGAAAGTGCTGAATAGCCTATCAGCCTGAATAACCGGACATCATACCTCACAATGAACATGATCTTTGTGCATCTGTTCGCGCGTGTGTGTGTGTGTGTTGTTTGTTTGTTCGTTTGCTTGCTCGCTTGTTTGTTTGCTGGTTTTATGTGTGTGCTGTGTGTGTATGTGCACTGTTCTTGGTCATGTCAGTAGTCGCGCGCTTGCCGCATTGCTTTATGATCCCTTTCAGTCTTCCTCGCAATCTGCCGTGTGCAACGAAGCCTCAGTAGTGCATAGGATATCCAGCCCGATCAGCAGAACCTACCTGCAGAGAAACATGAGTCCCCTTGTGGAATGCAACCCCGACGGTCGGCTCCCTCTGGTAGCAAGACGAACAGTTGAATCCTGATCCACGGATATCGCAATCTGTACAGCAATCTTGACAACATGTCCCACCAGTTTTGTATCCTCTAGCATGGACGAAGTCAGGTTTCCGATCACCCCTCGCGTGCGTGCTCACCACGTGCTTGTGCTTTCTTTTTGCTCCGGTCTACCACTCTTTGCAATGCCACGAGTGCGCCTTCTGTTCTTATCACGACTGCTAGTTTCATGTGGCTGAAAATGTCTCTGATTCTAGCCCTCCCGAAGCTGCCATAGCTGCACAAATCATGAATGCAGGATTCGGCTGACGGCCGAGAAGACCGTCGACGAGTTCCAGCAGCTTGATGGCCTGGCTTAATATCGGGGCTTCATAGTTAGAATCGGGTCTTGGGGTATGTTATAATAGTATACTCGTATCTATAACAAGGAACCTTATGTAATAATTCTAACGCTACGCGGCCCGCCTCGGCTGGCGGCTCCAGTAGTGCCAGCAGCGGCGCACCGCAAGCAGCAGCAGCAGCAGCAGCAGCAGCAGCAGCAGCAGCAGCAGCAGCAGCAGCAGCAGCAGCAGCAGCAGAAAAAGTGAGAACAGGGCAGGAAGGGGAAAGGAGAACCGAAGGAGAAGAGCAATGGAAAAAACACGGGAGCGAAAGCAGCGGGAAGATGGAATAGGCGGGAAGATTGAAAAGTCGCGGGGGAAGATGGAAAAGTGGAAACTGGTAGAAGATGGACAAAGAAAAGAAGGAAGTGGGGCCGAAGGAAGGGGAACAAGGGGAAAGAGGGAGCCTGGGGCAGGAAAGCAGCGGGAAGGTGGAAAAAGGAGAAAAGGGCAAGGACGTGGGGGAGGAAGAAGAATACTTGGAAGAAGAAAGGGCAGGGCCGGGAAGTGGGTCGGATGGAGGGGGCTGACCCGGGCGGCGGGCGGGGGGGGGGGGGCGGGGGGGGGGGCGGGGCTGCAAAGGGTCGGGAACAGGGCAAGGAGCAGCAGGAAGATGGAAAAGGCGGGAAGATGGAAAAGTAGGGGGTGAAGAGGGGAAGGGGAAAACAATGAACAAAGAAAAGAAGGAAGTGGGGCAGAAGGAAAAGGAGGAAAGAGAAGGAGAGCTTGGGGCCGGAAAGCAGCGGACAGGTGGAACAAGAAGAAAAAGCCAAGAACGTGGAAGAGGAAGAAGGAACGCTTGGAAGAAGAAAGGACAGGGTAGAACAAACATCAAGTCAAGAGAAGTGGGCCGGGAAGTAAGCAATGGAAAAAACACGCAAGCGAAGGACAGGAAGGAATGGTGGGAGATGGAAAGCAGCGGGAAGATGGAAAAGTGGCAAAGGATGGAGAAAGAGAAGAAGGAGAAAGGGAAGGAAGACCGCTTGGAAGGCAGGGTACGGCCGCTTTTAGCGCCTGTTCTCGACCCCCTTGCCCGGCTTCCGCCCTGCCACCCGTGATTTTCACAATTTCACCTTCCCCCCTCCCCTCCCTTTTTGTCTGCCCTGGCATGGCTTCCCCCCCCTGCCCCCCCCGTGCTTCCCGCCCGGGCTGCCCCAGTTTGGAGAAAGGCCGTGCCCAGGCTGCGATGTGATGACATTTGCTGAATACCACTAACTGCAGCTGCAGCGGAAGCGTCTGAAAGCAGCAAAATGTCAGTATATGCAGTGTGTCCGTCTTTTTGCTGACATGCTTGTCGGAAATGCTCATTTACGCTGCTATCAGCAGTCACGCCGCGAAGACAAGGAAGAAGGAACAGAAGACCAGACAGCAAGTCAGAAGCAGCTGGAGCAACAAAGCATGAACAAGAAGGAGCTTCAACGAGGAAGCAAGGAAACCAAAGGGCAAAAACACTGAAGAAACAAGCCCGCGAACGAAGCACAGGAGGGAAGGACTGAAAGTGTAGAAGGACGCGAGGAGCAAAAGTGAGAACAGAGCAGGAAGGGGAAAAGAGAACCGAAGGAAAGAACAGTGGAAGCAACACGCGAACGAAAGCAGCGGGAAGATGGAATAAGCGGGAAGATGGAAAAGTAGCGGGGGAAGATGGAAAAGTGGTAAATGATGGACAAAGAAAAGAAAGAACTGGGGCAGAAGGAAAGGGAACAAAAGGAACGAGGAAGCTTGGGGCCGGAAATCTGCGAAAAGGTGGAAGAAAAGAAGAAGGCAGGACGTGGAGGAGGAAGAAGGAACGCTTGAAAGAAGAAAGGACAGGATAGAGCAAAACACAAGTCAAGACAAGTGGGCCGGGAAGTAAGCAATGGAAAAAACACGCGAGCGAAGGACAGGAAGGAAGGGTGGGAGATGGGAAGCAGCGGGAAAATAGAAGTAACAAAAGATGGAGAAAGAGAAGAAGGAAGTGGCTTGGAAGGGACGGCAGAGGGCCGGCCCGGGGGATAGGGGGCGGGCCAGGGGAGGGGGGGGAAAGAAGAAAGGATAGGATTGAACAAAAAACAAGTCAAGAGAAGTGGGCCGGGAAGTAAACAATGGAAAAAACACGCGAGCGAAGGACAGGAAGGAAGGGTGGGAGATGGGAAGCGGCGGGAAAATAGAAGTACCAAAAGATGGAGAAAAAGAAGAAGGAAGTGGCTTGGAAGGGACCAGGGGGTGGGGGGCGGGCAGGCCGGGGGAGGGGGGGGGGCGCCAGGGGGGTGGGGGAGGGGGGCCTCGGACAACGAGACAAGAATCAGCAACAAATTCAGGGGGAAGAGGAGCCGGGCAAGGGGGTCGAAAACAGGCGCTGCAGGAAAAGGATTAGGTCGGGGGTTGGTTAGTATGAACCATCAAGATGCCGGAGGCCTTTGGCCTTCCGACCCCTGTGTGATCTGGGTCTCTGCACGGCTTTCTTATACATCCCTCCGAGCCCTCAGGTTCGTGCCGCTGAAGAGTTCGGCCCGCCCGCAGATGTGTGACATGTGGGTCCTGGACAATGACATGCAAGGAAAGTGCTCGGTCTATGTTCGCCACTTAGACAGGTGCTTCTCTTGAGCGAAACGAAGAAAAGCTCGTCGGAAGGATCTTATCGGATTGCAAACCCTTAATATCAGAACAGTGTCCCAAGCTTGCAAGCCTTCCATCCACCATAAACCCTAAAGGCCCTAAAGCTTCCCTGAACCCTAAAGCTTCTTGAACTCAAACTCCATGATTAGCCTTGCATCCCAACTGGGTCGGCCGATGCAGCAGGTACCTCCCGTACCAGTTCCAAAGGTCCTGCGTGAACGCCGTGTTCCACTTGGAGCGGAAAGGTGAAATCGGTTGAAGCAGTTCACTATTTCGAGTTTTGGTTTGTGGCGCAGTGGGCCTGGGGGTTGAGTTCATTTTGGGTTAAGGATGGCTCTGCATTCAGCTTCCGCCAGCATGAGCAGGTGATTTGTACTTTCGCTCGATGTTCTTCATGGTCTTTCTCGTGATCATTGTCAGCCTCTGTAGTTTGACCATTCCGCTTGAGGATATCAGTGGGAGGCTGGCGCATTTGAGTACCTGCTTCCTGGCCATCATGGCGTATCGTTATGTAGTTGGCGATGTGTTGCCGCGTAAGGAGTACCTCACACCAGCTGACAAGTATGTCATCTTTGCCTGCGGACTTCAAGTGGTCATCGTGGTCGAAACGATCCTGCTACAGTATGTCGATGGCATGATTGCAAACTCTTTACTGATCGAAAGATATACTGGGATAGCTCTTTTGGTTGCTTGGCTCGTTCTGAATCATTATCTTACAGGATTCTCGCGATCCAAATCCCAACGTGACTGGAGAAGTGTGTACCAGGACCGTCGCGAACCCTATGTGCCCGTGAAGCGGTGTGCACAATGCGGGGCCGCATGGCTGAGCAAGCAATGTGAGCACGGCGACCGCAAGAAAGTCTGTCCAGAATGCGGCGCCAGAGCGGAGGATGTGAGCACTATCTATTTGACTCCTCTCGACCATGACCCTCTTGTGAAGCCGCAAGTCTTCCCTTCTGCACCAAGCGGCTTGAAGGAGGCTCCGGCCAGCATCTAGAGTATCTGACAATGGTTGTCGACATCAAGGTCCGAAATTGCGTTGCCCCGAATGGGATCATGCCTTCCTTTTGAGGACTGCATGATGTCGTTATGTAATTTTCTTGTCTCCGTGCGGAGGCAGATGGTGTGGCACAAGGTTCGGTGCCCATGAGGATGGTCCGAGAATCTGAGAGGTGGAAGCCCAAAGATCGGCCGAGCACCGCCCTAAAGTTCCTAAAGCCTTAATCTCATCGGGGAGAAAAGAGCTCTCGGCATCGCGCTTATACGCGGTACGGTTTAGTGCCATCTTATCGGGGCTTTTTAAGGCCTATACACGATGGAAGAAAGCACCATCAGAATCAACGAGCTGATTCCAATCCGATCCAAATCCTAGTCTTGTCTTCAGTTTCCTGAAGACTTCCTTCTGTGGCTTTACGAGTGGTATCTGCTTTGTGTATGCTAGTTTGCACTATCTTGCCTTTGCAAGGCCACAAATGCTGAACCCCCTTCACATGTTTACCAGGTAAAGCAGGGTTCCTAAGCTCAGTTCAGTTTCCCGTTGGCTCAGCCTTGGCAATATCGCATCACCCCACGCATCTTACCGCAGGTGTCAATGTCTGCTTTGACTTTTTGTTAGACAATGTAATGTATTGAGGCAGCAGCAGTTGACCACAATTTTGGCTGACCCGGTCTACGAATCTGCGAACCAAAGATTTCAAGCTGATGCAGGCCGGTTGACGGACAGCGTGTTCAAGCTTATTGTGGGACTGCTGAGGCAGCTTTGTTTCCAGATTGCAGTGGCAATAAGACAGTGAAAAAGGCGAGCTAAGCCGCGAAGCAGTATGCATGTCGCCACTTATCCGAATATGGCATCGACATGACTTTCGCAGTTGCGGCTTGGCACGATGACTTCGCGAAAGGGCTTGGTGACTCATTCCATGCATCAGCACCATTTTCAGCTCGCATTTCCCGCTGACGTCTTTCCAACCACAAGTAGTGCGAGGTGAAGCTCAATGGTAGTCCAACGATTGGGGAGGCTTCGAATGCATCACATCAATGGGATGCAACTTTATGTGTCCTCACAGAGAAATGTTAGCTTGCAAAAACATTCTGCCTGGATTCAGCAAGCACAGTGCGAAGCGCAAAAGCTCAACATGAACATGTGCGAGTTCGTGCACGAGTAAGACCAGCCATGGACCAATCTGAGAGCAGCTCGAGCTCCGTTATTTCTAGTTCGACTTCACTTTCCAGCTCGGACGCGCGAGTTCTGCCTCGTCGTCCCGTGGTCGACGACGCTTTGCTCATGTCAAGTACATCTGCTAACTGCATTGGCCCATTGTGCACCGAGACATGCTCATACCACCTTTTCCTAGAAAGGTGGTAGTGCTAGCAGGCGTATTTGTTGAGCTAGCAGCTCCTTGAAAAGTATCCTAGTTCAGCAGGCCGACCTTGTCGCACAAGCGCGCGGATTGCCATCACCATGTTTGAACAATCGTCACCACAGAGAGGAATTGCCATGGATGCTGATTCTCCAAAACTCTAAAGCTCAGATGGCGAGGGCGCCCAAGCAGAAGAATCGTCTAGCGGTAGAAACCCTGGAGGAGCTGTGACAGTGTGGCATCAGTGTTGGCTTTTTCGTAGAATTGTATGCTCCCAGTCTCACTTCAGGCCGGCCTTGCCCCTGAGGGCTACGAGAATGGTGTGCCTCTCCTGAGTTTTCGGTGCGTCGCAGCCTTTTGTGTTATAGTAACTACTACCAGGAATCTTGTTCTCATTCTTCGTTGAGTGCTTGAGCCCTAAGTGCTGTGATGCAAGTGAGAGGCTTGCACTAAGGCTTTGCCGAGATACACCCAGAATTGGACGCACACAGGCGGAGGCAATGAAGTGGATTGCTCCAAGCATATCAAGGTGCGACACTCTCAAACTTTGACCTTAACTCGTAAACCCCGCATTCTGAGAAGGGAATTCCGAGAACTCGGCAGGTCTATGTCGACATAGCCGCGCATGAGTTGAAGAGCGTGGATGACAACAATGAACAGCTCCTTTGCCACTGGAGTTAGGGCTATTCCGCAACACTATCAGGGAGAAGCGCCATCACACAACGAGTGGATTTTAAGAAGCAGGTGGACAGCAAGAAACATCAGTAAAGACAGGCTTGCGCGACGACGGGGACAGACATACCGTGATTGCAAGCTAAAGCGCCAACTTGTTATTCATAGATAGATAGATAGTAAGATGTTTGGTTCAGCCGCCTGTTCCTGGCAGCTGCATGCACTGGAAAACACCATATTTCAGCCAAGCGGCCCACCTCCCAAAAAACCATCTGCATCTTACAAGCACACAGAACATGGCTCAAGGTGTCGACTGCATGTTGCAAAACATAAACATTCTGGCTCAGAAAATAACTACGAACGGCTACGTACCTAACCCTCTACCTGCGATTCCACAAACAGCAGATGGATTTAGATCACAAACTTCTCAACATGCGCCTACCTACAGTACTGGTGAAGTGCTTCTCTAGGGGCCTCTAGCACCTACCCTTGCCGCCACTCGACCGCGGTGCCCTCCACCTCCGTTTCCACGACCCCGGTTAGCCTGGTGTTGATTCTGATTCCCATTGGCCTCATTTGTGCGACGATTTCTACGATTCTGTTCCTCTGCCGTCCGATGCAAAAAACCTGTAAGTTGGTCACCCTCGCCGGCCTCGCGGCGCTCACGATTACTCTGGTTAATGTGTGCACCGAGGCCTGCCTGAAGGGCTCTCGAAACTGCGAACGACAGGTCTCCGAATTCCAGATTGAAAAGGAAATGTCCCGGGGCCCGCACTCGTTGATTTGTGTTCGGACCTCGAGTCGAGCGAAGTTTGTTCGGAAGAACGAATCGCGTCCCCACTAGCAATGCGGTCAAAAATGCCCACCATGTAGTACATACGTTGAGGTCCCCGGCATTGCGCTTCATGTCTTGGCAGATTTGACAAAGACATACTTTCCCCGCATAGTCTGCACGTTCCTTGTCGAAATTGGCTCGGCGGCCATGGCGCCACCGGGTTCGCTGGACAGACGTGTGTGCGAGTTTCGCCAGTACTGTCCACATGCCTCGCACCCATAGACACCTACCGTCATTTTATGCTGCTGGTTGTGCGTCCCGAACGACCAAGTTTTGGCTACCTGTCCCACTTTCCGTGCGATTTTCTGCGCTGCATCCTTGTACGCTCCTCCCTCTTCATGTAGCATTCCACCCCACATGTCTTACGACCTCTTTTTCCCCCTTGTAACGTACATCAGTCAATTTGCGTTTCGTCCTCTGCAGTCTCAAGCCCTCTGTTTTACCCGGGTGTACCGTTTCACACCAATCTTTCATTGTTCGCTCCAAGATTGGTTCAGCATACCTCATTTCCTCAGCCTCGTCTACCAGAGTGGTGTCATCCGCAAATCCTACATCACCGATGATTTTGTCCTCAATCTTCCTTGTAAGATGCTGTCGACCGTGGAATCCATGGCCCAGTCTCCCGTCCACCTTGACTGTCCATGCCACACCGGGCGTCTGTCCTCTCGCCGTAGCTTCCATATCTCTTCGGGCTCTAAAGTCTGCCATGACGGCAGCATGGTAGCAATTGAAGAGTGGAGGACTCGATGGACAGCCTTCTCGTAACCCCTTGTCTATCCTATACATCTCGGACGCTCTTTTGTATATGCGCACCTGATACTCGGTGTGTTCATGCAGTGCTTGACATACGCTAATGAGTTCAGTCGGACCTCCTTTACTTTTCATAAGCTGCCATAGGGAGTCTCTGCTCACGCGAGGATAAGCTTTCTCAATATCGAAGAGTCGCACCAGCATGACCTCGCCGGTATCCATACTACTTGTACCCTCCTCGACCAACCTATGTGTAACTTGTAGCGCATCATCAACCGATCTATATCGCCTGAATCCCATTTGTGCCTCTGGTAACCATGGCTCACTCCACACCTGTACTCTTTGCGCTACTACCCGGGCAAGCAACTTAGATCCTACGCTGAGCAATGTAATCCCCCGCCAGGTGGACTTGTCCGAATTATCACCTTTTTGTTTCCATAGTGGTACTACCAGCCCTTTGTTCCAGCTATCTGGCCAATCGGCCGCTTCCTGTCCTGCTACTGCCGACTTCGCATTTTGCCACATGCAAGAGCCCGACGCAGAGCCCAGCCCGGCTTACCATGCCTCACTGCACAGCATTGCAACGGATTTACGTGCATGGTTCCGCACGGTTGCGTTTTTATCGCACCCCGACGTGCGCAGCATTCGCACTGTCTCGGGCACAGCCTGGCACCAGACTCGTACGGCGCAGAGGCGGCGTAATTTTTTGTGGCTGGACAGCAGCCCCGCCTTGCTCTGGAGGCGTGGCCATACCCTTCCGGAAACTATATGCATCTCCGAGCCCTGCACAGCAGATGCTCAGTGTGATCGTGCATTGATCGATTTTCTTTAGCACGGTTTTATTGTCACAGCATCGCCTTGCATGGCTCTGTTCTGCACTGAAAATGCATGTCACTTTCTTTAGCAGCCGCGGTCTGCCTTGCTCTCGGCTTCCTGTTTTTTAGTTAACTGCAGCCTCGCACAGGTCTTCTTCTCTGACATCCGGCGCGCCGCAGGCCCGGTTTTTCCTTTCGTTAAACTGGGTTTGACGAGCACCGCGTGCTCAGGCTGTTGCCTCGCCCGGGCTCAGCTTTTGCTTGGCCGAGGTCGCACCGCCCTCGGTCCTTGCTTTTTTACGGGTGTTTCGAGCCGCTCGAAGCCCAAGTCGCATTGCATGGCCGACGGCTGTGTTCGCCCCGGCCGCGGCCTCCAGACAAGTTGGGCTGTCTTTTTTCGCTAGCCGCCCTGTGTTCAAGCACAGCAACGGCAGCGTTTGCTGCGCAATCGCGTGCCAAATCAGCTTGTGTGACTGCGGGCGCCCTGCATGCGGCAAGCAGATCCGCGGAGCACCGGAAGATGATTGCACGATGTGCACAGATGCAGCACATGCCAAGAATCCGGCAA